GGTCACAGTTAAGCCACGTCAATATTTTATATTAATTTTTTATATAAATAATAAAACAAAAAGTAATAGAAATATAAAATGTTGACATGGCTTAACTGTAACCACACAAACATAAATACATATGAAGAGTATGGAAATAGAAGGGCAGACAATCCACCTTCTCACAAATGATGCCCGAAAGTCAAACAAATCTGGGATTGTGTAATTTAAAAGTCAAATCAACTGTGGCATCCGTACATGTTTACTCTGTTTATCCTTTCAATTCTCTAAGTGGTTTCCCCTCTTCTCTTCCCCAACTTCTGTCTACCCCTGTGAAAATTATTGGAAAATACTATTGTGTTTTAATTATATATTTTGAACCAGTCTCTTCTACAACTAACACAATTTCTGATTATGTTACATCCACATCCGATCTTTTAAGGAGGAGTCCGCTAATTTGTAGTTGGAACGAGATTCATTTCAACACTCATATTAATAGCATAAATTAACATATCAACAATGGTTTTTTTATAAAAGATTGTCTGATTGACATAATTCTTTGCTTTAGTCCTTGTGATGTATAATCAATAGACGTAATCTCCGATTTTGTCCACGCCAATTATTTTGATCAGTTATTGAAAAAATTTCTCTAAATAAGGATAAAATAATAAAAATACTCTTACTTTTGTCAAATCATTTGGCCATTGTTTATTAAATAGAGGGTATGTTTGTCATTTTAGTCCTATTTAACACAGATCTTTCGCGGAATGATCAAAATGATTAAGAGTAGACAAACTCAGTAATCAGTTCTATCGATTTCAAATATCAGAGACTAAAGTGATGAGTTATGTCTATCTCAGGTACCATTTTGATCAATACGTCTGTCAATAATTGATATTGTGTCGCTATGACTATCGATATGGATCTTAATTCAGCTACAGTTGAATATAAAAAATTATTAGTTGTTTGGTAAATGCATTCATTAGTGATCAACTTTCGGTCGGGAGTCCTGTCAGGAGTTCAAATTCATTCACATTATATTGGGAGGAAGTTGCATTTGTTAATTATCCTTCACAAGTCAAGTGGTGAATGCTTCTGACCTTAAATTTTGCAGGTAGACCTCTATGGAATACCGATTCACCTCTAATCTTTTTAATTTTCTTTGGATATTTTTTAGACATGTCAATTTCCCATCTACCACCAAAAAAAAAAAAAAAAAAAAACCACTGCCATGGCATGCTATCTCTCCATAGCCAAAATAATTGGTTTAATGCCATTGCTCTGGTTTTACAAATCTGCAATCTGTGTGTCCTTTTGTGTCACATTTCGTCATATTGTCTTGAGAAACTTTAATTGTCTCAGAAACTCATTTCCTTCGTATGTGGCAATCATGCTCCCTCAGCTCAAAAGCATTTAAAAAAGGAAAACTAATGAAAATGGTTTGAAAACTTTGAATTTTAACGATAAGGATAAAATAAATGGTAAAGTGAATGGTACCAAGATTGACTTCTTAGTGTAAAAATGTAGTTTTTCATTAAAGTGAATAGTACCGGAAGTTTTTTGTTAAACTTCCCTATTAAAAAAGTACTTATTGAAACAACTCCCACCAGTTGGCCTCTCTTTCATGTGCAATATCATTTTCCCACATTCGATTCCCACCCTGGCCCATGCCCACACCAGCTGATGAAATTGTGTTATTTGCAACCCTAGGGATCATGGGTTTTGTTCCCTTGGCATAATTTTGATTCAATAACTATAACATTAGAACCAAATGTGAGTTAGGTCAATTAGTTAGTGTAGTGTCTCTTTCCTTTACACTCAAGTTCATTTCTCTGGAGTAGTTTAGATTAATATATTCTTCAAAACAAAAGCATGTTTCCGAGGAAATTAGTATTACTATTATCTTTGATTTTGCACCTCAACCAACTCATTTATAATTAGTGTTTGAAATTTTTTCCGTGCGGCTGATATTTTTATGGAAAGATCGGGAAAATGAGAAAATGATATGGAAATTGGGTGAAGTTTAAACTTCACTTTATATCAGATAAACTCTTAAATTTCGGCTAAAATGGATAGATTTCATCTATATTTCCGACATATCAGTAATATTGACAAACTGGCATATGATATTCCCTAAAGTTTTATTTTAATTTTTCACGTTTTAGAGTAAATTTTCACCATTTCCATCGGAAACAACCGATATTGATATTTTCACAAATTTGCTATCGATATTTTTACCAATACCAATATTTTAAACACTGATGCATACTTGCCAACAACCACTGTAACTTGAAACTCACCGCGTTACTCCACTAACTTGATGCAAATTTTGTTTATTGCAAGTATGAAATTGCACAAGTCATTAAGGTTTGTGATGAAATTTTGATGCATAATTGAAACCTGCGTATGGTCAAGTGTGAGATCATCTCCGTCGCGTAAATTTATTTCTATGTGACACACCTGCTGGTCGAGTAAAAGAGTAGTTAACCGACGGAATCTCATGTCCGTTGCATAAAACTGTGAGCGAGCTTGGCCTACGAACTTTGACCGACGACCTTCCGTTTGGTGATACCATATACCATACCAATCCTCTTCTTCTCACTTCATATCTCTTGTTTTTCTGTGTATCCACTGCTAACCGAAACATGGCTGAGGCACTCATTTTCGTGCTTCTCGAACAACTGGCTTCCGTAACTTACCAACATGTCGGAGAAGAGGTGAAGCTGGTTTTGAATGCGGAGAAAGATGTTCGAGAATTCAAGGCCAAACTTAAAGTGATTCATGCTGTGCTTGAGGATGCAGAGCTGAGGCAAGTGAGGGACGCCAACTTCAGAAATTGGCTGGAGCAGCTGAAAGATGTATCGTACAAGATGGACAATGTGCTGGATGAGTGGAAGACTGAAATACTGAAACAACAAATTGAGAAACAAGAAGAGCACGGTGGAAGTACTTCTCATGTTACTAAGAAGAAGATGAAGTTGGTATGTTTCTCTATTCCTTCCTCTTGCTTTTGTTTCGGCCAAGTCCGTCGGATAATTCTTCATCGTGACATTGCTCTTAAGATCAAAAGTCTGAATGAAAATTTAGATGAGATTGCAAAGCAAAGAGAAACATATAACTTTCGATTCATAGAGAGAATGATCAGTGAACAACCTGAGCGAGAGAAAACTTCTTCTTTTGTTGATGAATCTATCATATTTGGTAGAGAACAACAAAAGGAAGTTTTGGTTAGCAAGTTGTTGAATGAGAGTAGTCAAGAAAAGAGGGGCCTCCTTGTCATCCCTACTGTCGGGATGAGAGGAATGGGGAAGACAACTCTGGCCCAGCTGGCTTTTAACGATGAAAATTTAAAGCTTGTTTTGAGATCAAAATATGGGTTTGTGTTTCGGACACTTTTGATGAGATCAAAATTGCCAAAGGCATCAGTGAGGGTGTCGAAGCTACCAGCCCACATTCAGATGAAATGGAAACTTTCTTGCAATGTATGTCTAAATCAATTGAGGGAAAGAAGTTTCTCCTTGTCCTAGACGATGTGTGGACTGAAAACCAAAGAAAGTGGGAGAAATTGAAGTTGCCATTAATACAAAGTGGTGCTCGAGGCAGTAGAATATTGGTAACCAATTGAAAACAGGAGGTTGCTGATATGATGGGAGCTCTCACTCATACGATCCATTTGGAGAGGTTGAGCGAACAAAATTGTTTGTTAATATTCAACAACATGGCATTTTATAATAAGGATAAGGATGGTGTGTTGGAAGCCATTGGTGAAGAAATAGCAAAAAAGTGCAAGGGTTTGCCTCTTGCAGCAAAGGCTATGGGTAGTCTCATGCGTTGCAAGAAACCGAGGAAAGAATGGTAAACATAAGCCTTGATTATATTCTTTATATCTTCTTTCCCGATTCACGACATTTTCCATTCTAGTTAACTAAATTTGATTATATTCCTTATATCTTCTTTCCCGATTCACGATGTTTTTCCATTCCAGTTAACTAAACGTGCTATAATAAAACTCAAACCCAAGTTTTAAGTTTTTTAACCCCTCCCCCACCCACCACCCAAAAAATGCAGAAATCAAGACAACCTAAGCGGCCCCTGAACTCAAACCCCACCCACCCCCCCAAAAAAAAAAAAAAAAAAAACAACAACAACAACAACAAAACCCCCCACCCACCCCAACCCTCTTGAATCCTGAATAATACTTGGTTGACCCCAAAATAAATAAATAAACCAACAACAACAACAAAACCCCCCACCCACCCCAACCCTTTTGAATCCTGAATAATACTTAGTTGCTCAAAAGATGAGTATGAATTTTAACTAAAAATTGTTCGTTGCCAATTCATTGAATTTTATGTTTTTGATCTAAATCGTTCATCGTATAAACCACCAATAAAGATAGTCTCTACAAAAAATAAATTAAAACTAAGGTCATTTAGTCATCGAACTGTATAAAGATGATAGAATTAGTAAAAGTTTTACTAACCATCTATGTATTTGCTATAATAGATTGACTAAACGACTTTAATTTTAATTGATTTTTTTGTAGAGATAATCTTTACAGAGTGATTTATAATATGAACCGTTCTGAGCATAAATGCAAAACTTTGTGATTCGAACATGAAATTTTTTTAATAGAAATTCATATTCATCCTTAAGTAACTAAAGCATTGTTCTTGAGTCCTCCTTCACAACACCTAGCAATTTATTTCAATATCTTTATTAGGAAACTGCCCTCTATGACCATTCCTCTCGCTATGAACCCAATACTTAATTCATTGGGCTTAAGTGTTAGGCTCAATTCCATTTAAAGCTAAGACTTTAAGGTTTGGTAATGCATAACTTCCAACAAGAAGTAGGTACTAATTTTTCTTTACAACTGCCAACTCCAACTGCTCGCTTTATCACTCATTTACTTAATTGCATCCAACACATTTTGCAAATGCGAAAAATACTATTTGAACCAACTATAAAATCAGACGCATATTACCTTGCTGATCACCAACAGAAATACATTACGTACCTACATATATAGCAGAATGACGAGACTGCTAGCAGTATACATTACTCTCGCATTTAGCCTCTTTCTCTATGGCACCGAGTGCAACATCTCATTCTCCACAAATGGAGCTACAAGCAACTCATACAACAAGTTCATAAAAGCACTGCGAGCCCAACTCACAAATGGAGCGGCCAGAATATATGATATACCTGTCCTGAACCCATCTGTGCCGGACTCACAACGCTTCCTCTTGGTTGATCTCTCTAACAATGGCAACAACACCATAACCGTGGCAATTGACGTGGTGAATGTTTCTGTTGTGGCTTATCGCACACGTGCAGCTAGATCTTACTTTCTTGCTGACGCTCCTGATGAAGCTTTGGACATTTTATTCAACGATACCAGAGGGTTTTTTCTTCCATTCACAAGCAACTACATTGATCTTGAGAAAGCCGCAGAGAAATCCAGGGACAAAATCCCATTGGGACTCACTCCACTACATAACTCCATCACCAGCTTGTGGAATCATGAGTTGGAAGAGGCTGCAGCGTCGCTACTTGTGATCACTCAAACGGTCTTTGAAGCAGCAAGGTTCAGGGTCATTGAGCAGCGAGTTCGCAACAGTATAAGCTCCAAAGCTAACTTTATACCAGACCATGCAATGCTGAGCTTGGAGAACAATTGGTTGGCTATCTCTTGGGAGACACAACATGCACTTAATGGAGTCTTCAGTAAGTCCATTCAACTTCGCTCTACCAACAACAATCTTTTCCTTGTAGACAGTGTTAGTTCAAGCATCATGGCCGGTGTCGCATTCTTATTCTACAACTGCCATGCTGTGACCTTTCCCAACATAATCAAAATGCCTGTTAACGTTGTGATGGGCAAGGAAATTGACAATGAAATATGTGCGGTACAAAACCGCACAACACGCATAAGCGGTCTAGAAGGATTGTGCATTGACGTGAAGAATGGTCTCGACAGCGATGGGAATCTAGTCCAAATTTGGCCATGTGGGCAACAGCGCAATCAGAAGTGGACATTCCAACCAGATGAGACGATCCGGTCAATGGAAAAATGCATGACTGCATATAGTACTTCTAGCCCTAAAAATTATGTCATGATATACAACTGTACTACGGCTGTTCCGGAAGCGACTAAGTGGGCATTATCTACCGATGGCACAATCACACATCGTCGCTCCGGACTTGTTCTCACTGCCCACGAAGCTACGCAGGGTACCACCCTAACTATAGCTACCAATAGCCATTCTCCTAGGCAAGGTTGGAGAGTGGGAGATGATGTGGAGCCCACAGTGACTTCCATTATTGGGTATAATGACATGTGCCTTACTGCCAACGACGATAAGAGTCGAGTATGGATGGAGTATTGTGTGCCCAGCAATAATCAACAACAATGGGCACTCTATAGTGAAGGCACTATCCGAGTAAATAGCGATCGCACCCTATGTGTCACATCCAATGGTCACAACTCATCAAATGTAATCATCATACTGAAATGTGAATTAAGAAGGGGCGACCAGCGTTGGGTGTTCAAGACAGACGGTTCCATTTTAAACCCTAATTCTGAATTGGTTATGGATGTGAAAAACAGCGATGTGTACCTGCGAGAGATCATTTTGTATCCATACTATGGGACACCCAACCAGCAATGGCTGCCGTTCTTCTAATTAAGCGGCCGGCTAGAATGACTACACTAAATATGTTCAGATGAACCCTAAATAAGTTTCGATGTTCTTCATCACACTATTTTGTCTTGTATCCACACATATGTGTGTATTACTAAACTATTCAAATGAGACATTTCTAGGTTTTTCATCACACTACTTTGTCTTTGTATCTCTTACTTCAATTGTCTTCGTCGGGATATCCAATTAATTAAGTTTGTTTTTTATTTAATTATGATTCTTAAATTTCAAATTTTAGGGATTTTAATTTGATTGATTGACATTCTAGGTTGGTTTTAGATGAGAAAAATTAGTATAATTTTAATACTTAATTTCATATTGTGTCACATCCCAGCTCAGGGTCCACCACATCCTGAGTTCACTCCACCACCGTAGCACGATATTGTCCGCTTTGGGCCCCAACCACGCCCTCACGGTTTTGTTTCTGGGAACTCACACGAGAACTTCCCAGTGGGTCACCCATCATGGGATTGACCTCTCGCGCTACTCGCTTAACTTCGGAGTTCCGATGAACCCGAAGCCAGTGAACTCCCAAAAGGCCTCGTGCTAGGTAGAGATGGGAATATACATATAAGGATCACTCCCCTGGGCGATGTGGGATCTTACAATCCACCCCCCCTTAGGGGCCCGACGTCCTCGTTGGTACACCACGGCCAAGGTTAGGCTCTGATACCAAATTGACACATCCCAGCTCGGGCCCCCATCACATCTCGGGCTCAACTCCACCGTAGCACGATATTGTCCGCTTTGGGCCCCAACCACGCCTTCACGGTTTTGTTTCTGGGAGCTCGCACAAGAACTTCCTGGTAGGTCATCATCCATCATGGGAGTGCTCTCGCGCACTACTTGCTTAACTTCGGAGTTCCCATGGAACCCGAAGCCAGTGAGGTCCCAAAAGGCCTCGTGCTAGGTAGAGATGAGAATATACATATAAGGCTTACAGGATCCTCACCCCTAGGCAATGTGGGATGTAACAATCCATCCCCCCTTAGGGGCCCAACGTTCTCGTCGGCACACTTCCTACCAGGGATTAGCTCTGATACCAAATTGTCATATCCCGGCTCAGGGTCCACCACATCCTGGGCCCGCTCCATCACCGTAGCACAATATTGTCCGCTTTGGGCCCCGACCACGCCCTCATGGTTTTGTTTCTAGGAACTCACACGAGAACTTCCCAATGGGTCACCCATCATGGGATTGCTCTCGCGCGCTACTCGCCTAACTTCGAAGTTCCGATGAACCCGAAGCCAGTGAGCTCCCAAAATGCCTCGTGCTAGGTAGAGATGAGAATATACATATAAGGATCACTCCCCTGGGCGATGTGGGATCTTACATATTGAGACAACACTTTCTAAACATTTCATAGAGAGATAAAAATTAATACATTTGGAAAATGATATCATTTGGTTTTTATCTTTGTAGTGTAAATTGCGAAAATACTTTTTATCTTTGATAATTTTTCGCACTTCTCTCTCCTGCTCACTTCTTCTTTTTTTAATGAAAATGTGATAATAGATTAGGCAAGTTGAGCTACGCATAGGACTTGGTTGTCAGACTACAATAGTCGAAACCTTACCCTCTAAACCGCACAATGTGGAAATAAAGAAACCAGACCCCAGGATTAGCTGTCAACTACAAGTAGGCTACTTTCTTCATGCTCAAAGTGATTAGAAAGGGCTAACTCCTTAATAGAACGACCCCTCATGTGAAGTCTAGTTATATTGTTTGGCTTCCCTTGTCAAATGTTATAAATTGTACCACACATACTCTAGTTAGTTTTCGGGTTCAAATACTTCTTTGAGATCATATTGCTGGAAATATTCATCTCAAAAGCTTAATTTTGCTACATCAAGGGTTCGTTTATACATATGCATTTCATGTCATTATTTCCAGTTCATTATGTCTAGTGGCTTTGTCTAGTCAAAACTTACCGCTACTTTCACGCGAGTTGGGCACACACTTTAAGATTACTCACGTAGGCTTCCTGACAGCTTTTCTCCCCAAGAGTGTTTTTCAACCCTAGATCTTTTCTGATTGCTTTTGCACATGACACGTGTTCCTTCCATGCCCTTTCTTGTCTGAAACAAAGCCTACTATAAAAGCTTCATCTAGTGTTTCTTTTTTAGTTAGCTAGGAGATTGATATTTGTCTAAGAATGATTGTTTCAACTAGAAGCTGCTTCTTTTGTTCTTACTTGAAAACCTTCGCCAAAAAATCACAATCATGCACTAAATACCCACATCATTGCATACTAGGGCAGCATGATTTTGATCTTTGTTTAAGCTTCTTCAGTTTCAAATCTTTGAGCTTAATCTCTTTTTGGATTCGTGTCAGTTTCATCTTTTAAGTGTTTGACTGGTGAAACTAACTAAACGATCGAATCCAGATTTGCATCAACTTCATCATAACATCATTTGCATAAGTTGATTGGATCTCGATGCCACAAAGTGAAAAGCTCAGGAGGAGCTATCACTTCATGAAGATTGAAGGAGTTCATCTCGTGAAAGATAAGGTTGCACAAAGGTACAAGCTGCTCCATAAATTAGGATCTAGGAATTGAGCTTGTGTGGTTAGTTTGTAAGAATCTTGATTTCACTAGTGGATTGGATTCAGTGGAGAGTCCCCGGTTTGTTAACCCAGAGGTGAGTTTTTCCGGCCAAAAACATCATGTTCAATTTATCATTTTTTCTAGTTTACTTATCTTACATTTACTTGTTTTATACATAGAGTGGTCTCTAGGAGCTGCTAGTATTGGGTGGATTCTCACCATGGATCATGATCGTGTTGCAAGATCTTGCAACTCTCATCCTTTCTTTGATAGAACAAAATATGCCGCATGGCAGCAAGAAGTTTCAAATCTTTCTAGAAGCACAAGATCTAATTGTTGTGGATTATCTTACTTTTGAATGGAAGGCCTCATCGAGGACAATTGATGGTGAATTTGTGATAAAGGTCAAAAGTGAGTGGACTCAAGGGAGATTAATTCCGCTATAGCTAATAGAAAAGCAAGGAATGCCATTGTTTCTACCATCTCACCAACTCAATTTGCACAAATATGTTATTGCACTACAACAAAACAAGTATAAGACAAACTCCAAATTCTACATGACAACCAAGTGAAGGATCTTAAACTCCAAATAACTCTTTCAAAGTTTGAAGATTTAAGAATGTTGGAGTCTTAGACCTTATTGGTCTTTTATGAGAAAGTTGAAATGTTGACTAATGAGGCATTGGGGTTAGGAAAACCTATTGATGAGACAACAATTGTCCAACCTTGCCCAAGAGATTTCAAGCAAAGAAGGCTACTATACAAGAATTTCAAGACTTAAATGAAATTAAACTTGGAAAGTTGGTTGGCAAACTCATCACCTATGAGATAGAGCTAGACTTGCATAAAGGTGAGTCCAAGAAGAGAAAATAGGTTGCTTTTCAAAGTATTGACAAATCTCAAACAATGAATGAATCATGTGATCAATCGCCTGATGAAGATTTTGTCGTATTTGTTAAACAATTCCAAAGGACTCTCAAGAAAAAAGGAAAATATGTTAAAAAGGTTGGGGAATCATTAAACAATTCTCTCAGTCAACATCATGATAAGCTTACTTCTGGACGAAGTCAAATGAGGTTTGTTGATAGGAGGGACAAGTCTTCTTCAAGTGTACTTGGAGGTATTTGTTGGATCTATAAAAAAGCCTCTACTAGTGAAAAAGATGATGTTTTGAATGTTTTTGAAGATGTAATGCATCATGATGTGTCTGACATGTACGACTCTCTATTTGAGGAGACTTGTGTTTTAAAATTGGAAAATACGGAGCTGATCTAGAAGGTGTTTGAGCGGCAAAAAGAAATTGAGTCACCATGTATCAAAACAAAGTTGAATGAGAAAGTTACTTTTCTTGAAACTAAACTTCATAGATTAAATGAAATGGCTCATGTTTGCATTGGTGAAGATGAAAGATTATTGCATCTCTTAATGCTCAGGTTCAGGAATTGATGATATCTCAGGTAAGACTACTATAACAAGTTCATGAGTTCAAGGTCAACAACGAAATGCTTCATGCGATCAACTTGAGGTTATCATCTAAGTTGAATGAGGTTATGTACAAAGTGGATTATTTTACTCTTGATACTAAAAAATTTAACAAAGTTCCATGTGTTGGAAGTCAATATGATGTCAAGAATGCTCTTGTTTTTGTGGAAAGTGGACCTAGGTGCTGAAAACTATTCTCAGAAAAGAAGAATGACATGAAATGTAAAGTTGATCGACTAGATATGGAAGTCAAAAGAATGGCTCAATTGGTTAATTCTTTAAACTTTGGCAATGTCAAGTCATATCTGAGTCATCCTCTAAAGGTTTATGAAAAAGTCTGGTGACTCACTGTGCTTCTTATGCTTCTAAACCTAATGTTTGGTACTTTGATAGTGAATGCTCGTGTCATATGACAGGTGACAAAGAGGCATTCATGTCACTTGCACTTGATAACAGCAATATGATTGAGTTTAGGTTGCATAGCTTACATTACTAAAAAGGATATTATCAATATTCCTAAACTTCCCTAGCTTGAAAATGTTTGTTATGTGGCTGGGTTGACGACAAACCTTCTGAACATCAGCCAATTGTGTGATGATGTTGCTAATGAAGTTCGTTTCTCAAAGAGGTGTTGCAAAGCTGTTGGCAAAGATGGAAAGATTATGCTGGTTGTTCTAAGATTAAAGGGTAATCGTTATTCTCTTATCATTCCCAAAGGTGGTGAGCATACAAATTGGAACAAAGAAACTGATATATCATGGGTTCTAAAGGGGTAGCCACATCTCTTATTCTCTCAATGTTTTTTGTGTGAATCATCCAACTTGGAAAAACATATGATGTCTTGCATGAAAACAATCTATATTGTTAGTTGCATTGAAAAACAAAGGTATGTCTATCTCTGTCATGCAATTGCAAATTGTGACCTTGTTTTGTATCCTTGTGATATTCGGTTGTGGTTGTTGTATATGTTGCATAACTTTGGTGTAAAACTATTGGCTATTTGATTTCATTGTAATAATATGTATGAAATTGATTTTTGAAATAGCCCCATCTTTCATTGAAGCATAAATCATTTTGTAACTCAATTTCATTTCATTGGTAAGAT